AAGTCTGTACATCTTTCCTTAATCATGGCGGCTTTGTAGTTATTAAATTATTTACGAGTTGCGAAGCGGTACAAGGTGGTCTATAACGATAATAACCTGATTTTCGAAGCTTCGAAACTCTTATAAACTGCTTAATTGATTATAGATTAAGCCACCGTGATAGATGTACAGGTTTCGTAAGTGAACAATTAAATGCTTCATGAATCCCGGTTCCGTTCTTGAAACCTGTAATTTCGTATACAGTTACTTTGGATATTGTCACCATTTCTTAACCACTTAACTGCTCAGAGCCTCTTAAGGTGCTCTTGAGGGGTGTACATTTTTTTTTAATTAAGCGATGTTTTAATGTTTTTAATGTTTTCATTGCTCTTTGTGATTTGAAATAAAATTAGTCAAGTTTGGAAACATTTTGACAATAGCATTAGCTGAACATTTGCAAAAACCAACAAAAATGTCCTTAATTAAATAAATTATGAACTGCACCATGAAATTTTTGCCAAAAACAGGTGCGCAGTGCAAGGGTTAAACCTCCACTCAGCTGTGTTTCTGGGACAGTGCAGCCAGGCTGGCATATATTGAGGAAAAAGTGGTTTGGAATTAAATATATGTAAACCTATCGTGGGTTATGGGTGTCGTGCCTAGCCTGGCCTGGGGCTAGGCTTGCCTTGTGATAACTTGGGCCAACAGGCTGTTGTCCGGAGCGGCCCGCAGGCCCACATATCCACTGCTATCCGGTTGGTTCGGACCTTGATAGACCCCCCTTTTAAGTTATGAAAAACATTTCTGGTCACAGTACTGTATAATTAACATAATTCCTGTGAAATGTGCGCAGATAAGGCTGACAAAGTTAATCCCAGAAATTTGAAACTTTTTCTTATGAAGAGGCCAACAAGGTTTAATTTACATTCTCTAGAAAGGTTAAAAGCAAGAGGTGACATGAATGAAGTATAGAAAGGGGTGAAAGGTGTAAGAAAGTGAATAATAATAATATGCTAAATATATACAGATAAAAAATAGAACACGAAACGATGGACACAAATTGAATAAATTTATCTTCAGAAAAGATGCATAAATACTGATTGAAAAATAAGGCGATTGATTTATGGAACGGATTATCGAGTAACATAATAGAGGCGGGATCGCTGGGTTGTTTCAAGCGCAGGCTGGACATATATACAAGTGAGTTATGGTATAAATAGTTGTCTCGCATTTACCAAACAGGTCTTCTGCAGTTTCCCATGTTATGTTCTAGTCACCACTTACTTGACATTTGATATATAGCCTGAATGGTCCCCAGGCATATATGCAACTGAAAACGCCACACCCCAGAAATGACTCGAACCCATACTGCCAGGAGCACTATGCATCTGGTGTACAGGAGATCTTAACCACTTGACCATCAGTGACCGTACAGTACAGATTGGAGTTTTCAGTTTATATATATACATATATAATATAATATGCTGGCGATGAGTCACAATAACGTGGCTAAAGTATGTTGACCAGACCACACACTAGAAGGTAAAGGGACGACGACGTTTCAGTCCGTCCTGGACCATTCACAATCAACTTGAGAATGGTCCAGGACGGACCGAAACGTCATCGTCCCTTCACCTTCTAGTGTGTGGTCTGGTCAACATAATATAATATAGCAGTAACAAGTAAAGGAGCCTTACCGTTGAGGTCTGGAGAGTGTTGGTGGCAGAGAGGACTCCCAAAGGTTGTCTGCTGGAGCCGAGCGGGGACAGCGGTGAGAGGAGATGTGACGCTGTGGGGTGAGGTAGGACGTGTGGGGGCGTGTGCTGCAGGTGCTGCTGTAGCTGCTGCTGCAGGTGGTGTGGCGAGGTGGGCGGCGTTAGGAAACGGGCGCCTGGCTCATCCTTGAGGCCCGGGTGGTCCTCGAGGGCGTGCTGCAGGTCACAGATGTAGTCAATCACGTGTTGGATGAGCTCGAGTCTCGTCACCTTGCGGTTCTTGGGGATGTGCGGCACGATTTCTCTCAACTTGTCGAGATACAGGCGCATTTCGGCCTCTACCTCGGCGCTGGGCGGGTGGCGGTGTGGGCGGCGGCCCCGGTCACCCACGCCGCCCCCGCCCCCGCCGCCCATGGCCCCCAAATCATCGCGGGCTGCTCCCATCATCCTGTCCTGGTACGCCATGCTAGCTGTTCAAACGATGCCTTCACACTGCCAGTCAATACTATCTTGAGAGCGTATAGTATTAGAGGGATAATATACGAGCTACTTGACCACTGACACTCGCAACTACGAGCTGGAGGAATACGGAGTGCCACTCGTAAGCTGTCGACACCAAACTGTATGATCAGCGAGTTAGTTCCTGCGGGAGCGACTGCGTGTCTACCGGCCCCTCTCCTGATCACTACTGACTACTACTCCCTCAGCCTGTGTAAACTTAAAGTGGTCGGGGGGGACCACGTGGCAGCAAGGGCTCGGTTGTCGGCGACTCACGTTCGACTCCCAGCGCGGCTCCGTATGTTATGACTCCACCATCACACAACACTCCAGTACACACATGTCGAGGTGGGGTTTGCACCCTTCTCTAAACTAACGCTCAAGCGCTTATCGTAGACTCTTCACATACGATGATAATTACCACATGGGCTTATTTATTTGGTAATATAAAAGTTGTTAAATATGTTTCTGTTGTAATGAATGAAGTCAAGGGTTCTGTTATTCAATATTAAGTACAGCATGTTGCCTTTATCTAATATTGGAAATTAAACGAATTGTAATGAAAATCTGTTCGACCCTCAAACGTTTGTATAAGGTCTCTTTATCCACCAATCAGCGTTATTTTTCCCACGAGCGTCATAGTGGGAGGAGGCTGAATGAGCCAATGAGAGGCGGCGTACCAAGCCGGGTAGGCGAGGCGCGCCAGCTGGCCTGCACGTGGCTCGCCCCCGAGATGCCAACTTGCACTTGAAGACGCCAAATGTTCCATGAATGATTTTAAATGCAGGTGTTGCTCAGAGGCGGAGATCCGGCACGTTCTCCACCCCAAGAGCCAGCACGTGCAGCACTTAGTTTAATGCTCACTGGACGAGTAACTTGGGCCGAAATAATGCCAGTCTTCATTATTTGTGTCCATGTTGAAGAGGCGAGCGCGGGAGGCGGGAGCGACGCGGCCAGCAAGTGTTTCCTAAGATTACATCGACTCTTGGCTTCATTTTTTGCTTCAACGAATGGAGGTGGGGGGGGGGGTAAGCAGGTGTTGAAGGAGGGAAGGGGGGGGGGGGGGGGTAAGCAGGTGTTGTGGGGAGGGTGGTTGGTAGGCTACTCGCCTAAATGCTTGCAGCATCGAGCTTTAACTCCTGGGCCTCGCCATTACAACTGTCGGTTATCTGATGCAGTTATATCATATCCTTCCGTTTCTTATAACTACTTTTGAAACTACTGCATTTGTTTCTCTGGTAGTCGATCTGTAGAGTAAAGACAGGTTAAGAGAGCTGTCTACAAAACCTTATACCAGATGAGAAAGAGGAGACATGATCACTACATACAAGATCCTGAGCGGGAATAGACAAAATGGATAAAGGAAGCATATTTAAATTAAAAGGAAGTAGTACAAGGTAATATCGGTGGGAGCTGGACATGCAGTCTAGTCGTGGAGATGTAAGGAAGTTCTGGTTCCCTGTGGGGGGGGGGGAAGTGGAAAGAGTTGACGAGGTTGTTAAAGCCACCTCCATCCATAACTACCTTGAGGTGCTTCCGGGGCTTAGTGTCCCCGCGGCCCGGTCGTCGACCAGGCCTCCTGGTTGCTGGACTGATCAACCAGGCTGTTGGACGCGGCTGCTCGCAGCCTGACGTATGAGTCACAGCCTGGTTGATCAGGTATCCTTTGGAGGTGCTTATCCAGTTCTCTCTTGAACACTGTGAGGGGTCGGCCAGTTATGCCCCTTATGTGTAGTGGAAGCGTGTTGAACAGTCTCGGGCCTCTGATGTTGATAGTTCTCTCTTGAACACTGTGAGGGGTCGGCCAGTTATGCCCCTTATGTGTAGTGGAAGCGTGTTGAACAGTCTCGGGCCTCTGATGTTGATAGTTCTCTCTTGAACACTGTGAGGGGTCGGCCAGTTATGCCCCTTATGTGTATTGGAAGCGTGTTGAACAGTCTCGGGCCTCTGATGTTGATAGAGTTCTCTCTCAGAGTACTAAGACAAATGTGATGAAAATGTTAATGTTCGGAGAAGTAATTAGCGCGTGAGGTATAAACCACTAAGATACGAGGGCATAAACAGCCAGGACCCAGATTCACGAAGCAGTTACGCAAGCACTTATTATTTTTTTTGAGATATATTCAAGAGTTGTTACATTCTTGTACAGCCACTAGTACGCGTAGCGTTTCGGGCAGGTCCCTGGAATACGATCCCCGCCGCGAAGAATCGTTGTTACAACCAAGTACACATTTTACTGTTGAGTTAAACAGAGGCTACAGTTAAGGATTTGCACCCAGTAAGTCCTCCCCGGCCAGGATACGAACCCATGACAAAGCGCTCGCGGAACGCCAGGCGAGTGTCTTACCACTACACCACGGGGACTGGTGTAGTTACGAACCTGTACATCTTTTCTCAATCTTTGGCGGCTTTGTTTACAATTATTAAACAGTTAATGAGCTCCGAAGCACCAGGAGGCTATTTATAACAGTAACAACAGTTGATTGGCAAGTTTTCATGCTTGTAAACTGTTTAATAAATGTAACCAAAGCCGTCAAAGATTAAGGAAAGATGTACACGTTCGTAAGTGCTTGCGTAACTGCTTCTTGAATCCGGGTCCAGGTCTCACTCCTCGGTAGTATGTGATAGGTAAGCGACGGCCTCCCTTCTTGCAGGGCCGGCGTTCGATCCCCGTTGGTTCAAATGGCTTGGCACCATTCTTTCACTATCTTCATATCCTAGCTCCTTGTCCTCGTTATCCATTTGAATTGCTATATTGTCATACTTTACTGCTTTCTCCTCATATTTATCATATAATAACTCGCTTTGTGGTAACTGGTCCATCACATTTGCTCAGTTTTGTTACCCCTGTTTTATATTGGATGTTTTAATTTTAACTTTATTGATTGTAATGATTATTCTCTTTAACAAACAGAGCATTGGACTCTTGACTTGTCTTTACACTATATTGGAGTTCTTTTATTCTCTGGTCAAGATGTTTACATGTTTGACCAACATAGATCTTAAATACATAATTTTTTTATTGAAAAATAAATAACTTGGGGGTATTTTAAATATAAGCCTAGACTATGGCGCTAATTTCATCATGTATAAACTACATGTCCATAGATGAACTCAGAAACTACATGTCCATAGATGAACTCAGAAACTACATGTCCATAGAACCTTCAGGAACATAGTAGAAAATACAGCTTGTTTTATTCCTTGATGATGAGTTTTTATTATTATTATTATTATTATTATTATTATTATTATTATTATTATTATTATTATTATTATTTTCTACCACAGACGTGGCCACACATTTACAATGCTAACCAGCATATATAGATGAGTAAAAGTGTACATAACACCCCGACAATTGTTCGTTTTCTATATACAAAAAACGAAATGTTTACATTTATAAAAGACCATATCTAAGGATGGTAAAGAAAATGGGTGAGGCTAGATTTTTTATTTTAACTGAAATGTGTCCTGTAGAATTCTTTGGCCATAAGCAAACCACAACAACATAACGAAACCATGTGGCATTAGGAGGGAAAATTCTGCTTAATAGTTCTATAGAACTCCATATATAGATGGCTTAAAACTGAGAAAACGAGAACGTTTATTCACCTAGTTGTGCTTGCGGGGGTTGAGCTCTGCTCTTTCGGCCCGCCTCTCAACCGTCAATCAATTGGTGTACAGATTCTTGAGCCTATTGGGCTCTATCATATCTACACTTGAAACTGTGTATGGAGTCAGCCTCCACCACATCACCTCCTAATGCATTCCATTTGTCATGTGTGTGTGTGTGTGTGTGTGTGTGTGTGTGTGTGTGTGTGTGTGTGTGTGTGTGTGTGTGTGTGTGTGTGTGTGTGCAGTGTGTGTGTAGTGTGAGGGAGGTGGGGGGGGGGAGCCGTACCTTCCAGTCCTGTTGCCTGTACCAGATGGTCCTCTTAACCTTGATATATAAATAGGCTGCGTTTCCTTATCGACAGCTGGACACGAGTCAGGTGGCGCAGATGGTCGCCTGGTTCACCGTCACTGTGGCAGCTGGCGCCTACGGTGCCTCTACCTGCTCACACGGACGTCTTGGTGAGGGTGCTCTCTGTTTGGGGCCCTCACACTGGTTGGTGTTGGCACCCGGGCCCCTCACATTAGTGCTGGCACCGGGTTTAATTAGAAGAGATTGGATGTATTGCCTCTAAGATCTTTTGTGCCCTCTGTAATGCTTTTTGCGCTACCGCTCACAGGATGGGTATGGGGTGCACAATAAACTAGCCGCCTCCGGCGGCAAAAATAAAAAAAAAATCACCTCATTAATGTTGGTATTGGCTCTCACCTCATAAATGTTTCCTCATGCATGTTCCTAGGGTGGGGGGGGGTCTCCGAGATCCACATATTAACATGTAAAGTCCAAGATTTGCCCAGTGAGGGTATATCAGCTTTCCATAGCCAGGAATAGGATTGATCAGGCCTTAACGCGTCCCCTCTACGAAACCGGTACATCTTTCCTCAATCATGGTGGCGTATTTGAGACAGTTGACGAGCATCGAAAACCTCACAACTTTCAGCTGCCCACAGTGGCCATGTAAAGCGGCCTCCAGCTGCCTTATAATAATATTAACCCACGTGTTCGTATTGGAGATCCAGTAAGATCCCCAGGTGGCCATAGGTGGCCAAGGTGTGGCCCGTCACGAGAGAGAGAGAGAGAGAGAGAGAGAGAGAGAGAGAGAGAGAGAGACAGAGAGAGAGAGAGAGAGAGAGATGTAAGGCATTAACTAAATACATGGGTACACAGGTGGAGGTAATCACCAATATACAACAATGGATGGCATGGGTTGGGGGAAATTAGTATGAGGAGGGGAAGGGGGGGGGGAATATGAGGCCTTTTAAACCTAGGTTTTTACCTGGGGCGCCTCACACTGATCACAGGTAGTACACTTCCTGCACCCTCACACTTTCCCCCTCATTCCCGCCCACTCACACTTTCCCCTCATACTCGTCCCTGTCAAGCTATCCCCTCATACTCGTCCCTGTCTCGCTACCCCCTCATACTCGTCCCTGTCTCGCTACCCCCTCATACTCATCCCTGTTTCGCTACCCCCTCATACTCATCCCTGTTTCGCTACCCCCTCATACTCGTCCCTCAGACACTTTCCACATTATTCCATCCCCTCAGAGTATGAATGCACGCGAGTCCGAGCAGTGTGTGTGTGTGTGTGTGTGTGTGTGTGTGTGTGTGTGTGTGTGTGTGTGTGTGTGTGTGTGTGTGTGTGTGTGTGTGTGTGTGTGTATATATTTTAACACATTTAACATTAACGTG